CGAACCCGTGTCCCCTGCATCGGCAGGCGGACTCTCAACCACTGTGCCACCAGGGAAGCCCGAGGCTGGAGCCTTTACAGCAATTTAAATGAGAAAGTATGTGGGCCTCGCTCTCAGCAAATGTCACTGCATCCTGTGGGTTGGCGTCACTGAGGCTGCTACAGCCGCAAGAAGAAAAAAAGAAACCAAACAAAGAAGTTGATTAAGGCTATGGGCACATATGTGCATTCATGCGGTTGTTTAGCATCCCAGCGTTCACTTTTCTCATTTAAATCTGCCAGAGGCGAAACTGCCACTTGTCTCAAATTATGATGGAAATTTCCCCTCCCCCTACAGGAAATCAAGCATGATTAAATTTCAAGTTACCCAAATCTTTCAGAAACAACTAGAAACAAATATGTGCATACACTCCTCTGTCCTGTCTCCGTTTTAGGGGGTGAGACGGTTGTTTCTGCTGTTATTTTGTTTAAAATATTTCAACTGGGATGGAAAAGGTAAAATACACAGGTCTTGGTATTAAGTTGGAGAAAACCCTACCAAGGGTGTTCCCTTGTCCAATTCTAGCAGCTCAGACAACAAGCTCGATATGGAAACTAAAAGGACATAAAGAGGATGCTAGTTACCGTTTCTGTTGTTTTTCAGGTCTTGTCTCTACAGCTGGGACATTGGCATATATGAAGAACAGCTACATAACACTATGAGAATATAAAATCACATCAGACCAAGGGCAGAGACCAAGGTCAGCAGTGCTCAGGTGTGGCTTTCCAAAGTGGCTGAGAGGGGCCTTGGGCTGCATGGCAGAAAGTGGTCTGTTCTGTTTCAACCAGACCCATTCACTTATATTTGGTTTATGTTTTGAATTTCTGGTGAGATTTTGTTGGAATAAAAATTACAAAGGGGGTTATTCTGTTGCTAAAAATTGGTGATGATCAGATGATGATGATGAAGGAAGTGAGGTGGGCACATCTACAATATTATCAGCAGTTCAGAATCATTTATAGAATCCCTTCCGCATCACCCTACCCTGATTGTAAGGAATGTAAACCCCGTGAGGGCAAGCAGACATTATCTCTGTCATGTTCACCATCATATTTCCAACACTTAGCATGGCAGGTGTTCAATTACAATGAGCTGGATGAATGGAGGATAGATGGTTGATGGATGGATAGACAGAAGGGTAGACAGAAGAAAGTAAGATAAGAAGGAAGAATGCACAAAGAAGGAGGGAGAAGTAAGTGAATGAAGTCCTGAATGATGGGAATTGAACTTGGCGCTTAGCAAAGAAGAATTCTGAAGAAATCAGCTCTGTGTAATTTCATAAAACAGAGCAAATTCACAAGGCTCGGGAATATCAGCTTCTAGTTAAGAGCATGTCTACTTCCCTTGAAGGCATGTGTGAATGTCGTTATGGACAAAAAGAAATACAATGTGATAAACTGGAAAGAGTCCTGGGCTGGCGTTGAGATTTTGTTTCTTTTTTTTATTGATAGGTTCCATAGGAACAGCAAGAAATATGCCTTCTGAGGTACCTCAGTGCCATCACACTTCATTTTGTTTAATCTTCAAAGCCCCAATGTGCTTTGTCTTCCTACATAAAACTATGTACACATTTAAATAAGTACCCTGGACCTTATTCAACAGGTCAGTGGTTTTCAAATGTTATCAAATGGGGGAGGACAGTGGTGCAGGTAGGTGGAACTCCAGGCCTGTCCAGAGTCTTTTGACTGTTGCAGCAACATTTTTACCTGTTTTAAATATTGGTCTTGTATGCATGATTTTCCTTGAAAACAGGGATTAGTTGAATGCTCACATCAATCCCACCAGAAGGTAAGAGTGGGAATAACAGCCAGCCAAGACAAGAAGCCGGGCCTTTCAAGGCTTAAACCCAAGTTCTCTTAATGCTGCCATGAGGTCCTCAGCAGCTGGTAACAACTGTGCTGTTATTAACAGTAAAAGTAACAGGGATGCTGATGTGGGCTGTGGGCTGAAATACCCAGCTGCTTTATTGCTTCTTTATTGCAGGAGCTCGTGGAGTGTCCACTGCTGCCCTATGAAGGACACACTATGGTTATCCCATTTCTAAGGCCCGGAGAGGACGGCAGTTTGTTTTAAAGCCAAGGGGGTAAACTATGTCCCTATGTAGAAATGGATGTTCCTTTTTCAGAGATCTGAGAAAAATCAGTTGTGGTCAGCTTGGGGGAATTTAGAAGGTGTATAAACGGGGTGGGGGCAGTGGGGGGACACATAAGAAAGGACACAATGGCTTCAAGTCTGAAGCTATGAGACCGGCCAGCTGACCTGACCAAGGTTACAGAGTTGGTGAGTGAGGGCACCAAGATTTGCCCTGGAGACTAGGTACATCCATGCAAGGACACTTCCAATATCGGCGCTGCGTAGGGTCCTCCCTTCCGTGTCTCCCTCCCTAATTCTGCATCCAGTAAACCCAGGCAGCCACTTCAGCGGGTCCGTGGATCTGCAGCCTCTCCCACTGGAAACCCGAGGATCATATTCCACACTCGGGCACACAGCAGAGACTGAGATCCCACCTATTTCTCCCTCCTCCCTTCCCTACAGGATCTCACAGCTAAGAAGTTTACGGTCTCCTGTCATGTCATCACTGCATCACTGCATCTTGCTGAAGGCGCCTTCAAGGAGAAGTGGGGAGCGGGACACGGTTCAGTGGTAAGAGCAGAAAGCTATAGATATCCTTTCCAAGTGGCTCTGTGGCCCACGTTGTCATTTGCAGTTTTGTTCCAGAAGCAGGGCCTGGAAGTCGGAGTGTAAAAATAGCAAGGCTGGGAGCCCCACAAAGTCTCTCTTGTGCTGGGAGCCTCTTGGGCCAAGAGCAATACTTGGCATAGAAACAAGGAGCCCGTCTATGAGCAGCAAGGACCTGCCCCTTCCAGCCGCCTTGGGCGCCAGTGCCGCTGCTGGCCTGGCTCCATCTCTACCGCTCCTCTCCTGCTCTCCCCCCTGGTCTGTGTGTGAAGCAAGCCTGCCTCTCATCACCCTCTCCCCTGGGTTCACTTGCAGGAACTGAAGGGTCAAATGAAAACGAATTAGCATCTAGCAGCAGCTGGAAATCTCCCCTCTTGCTCCGGAGGCCACAGGAAGGAGGGATGGGTGAGCTGGGAGTCTAAATTTGGCAACGTCTGCAGTGCAGAGCACAAGAGGCCTCCCTCTGGCCCTCTTAATGGCACTCACTCCCTTCCTTGACAGTTGTATACCCAGTGCCTTCAGTGTGTACGGCAGGGGGTGAGCACCTTTCGAAGAAAGAGGAGACAGATTAACTCATTCAACAAATATTTCCTGTCTACTCTGTGCCAGGCATTGTTCTAGGGCTGGGGGGCACAGAGTTCATCAGACAGACCCGGGCCCAGCATCTGTGAACTGGGGCAGTGGTTCTCAACGTTCACAGTCACCTGGAGAATCTGCTAGAACACAGATCGCTGGGTACTACCCACCCCCACCCCCCGGCCAAGGTTCTGACTCAGTTGCTCTGGGGCGGGGCCTGAGAATCTGCATTTCTAACAGTTCCCAGTGGTGCTGATTTCTTGCTGCTGGTTTTGGGACCACACTT